TAAGATTTATTTATGCATACAGAACTGGGATGCAAGCCAGAGGTGCAGGGGCTATGAGAGGATTCACCAGAGACAGAGCGGGGAGCAGAACAGGCAGATCAACGAAGTACACTGCTGAGAGGAGCAGCGGGCGGGTCAGGAGAGGTCTGCTACGCCATGATTCCCACCTGTTAGTGATAATATTTGATCATTTTAATCTTTGAAGATTTTCAGATGTCAATTGGAATTTTGAAAATCATTTTTCCCAATTTTCGTTCTGATTTCTTTTGTTTCTGAAATGCAAGATCTCCTGGGCCGGGGATAAAACTCGCACCGAAGTGGCTGTGCTAGCTTGTAGTGCTGCATCTTAATCTGTTGTGCCACCAGGAGGGCCCTCAATTTAAAAATATTTTTAATTTTAAAAATGAGGTTTAAAAAATATGTATACTATGTCCAGTTTTTATAAAATGTGGGTTGCCATTTGCCATCTTCTTTACAGGACATCATGGTGATGTTGGAGCACCGATGGCTGATGTTATTCTCCCAGGAGCTGCTTATACAGAGAAGTCTGCTACTTATGTCAACACTGAGGGAAGGGCTCAGCAGACTAAAGTAGCAGTCACACCTCCTGGCTTGGCAAGAGAAGACTGGAAAATTATAAGAGCCCTCTCTGAGGTATTTGTTCTTAGTGATTGTACTAATGAGATGCTTGATATGTTAGTTATATGTTAGAGTGACTTTGAAGATAAAATGAAACTGAAATGCAGAGATGATTTGAATAATTTTTTTTTAAGTACTGAAAATTTATGTCAATATATGGGACCTGATGTGTTATAGATTGCAGGTATCACTCTTCCATATGATACTCTGGATCAAGTAAGGAATAGATTGGAAGAAGTCTCTCCTAATCTTGTTCGATATGATGATGTTGAAGGAGCTAATTATTTCCAGCAAGCAATTGAGCTCTCCAAGGTAAAATTTGTCTATTGCAGTTTTTATAATTGTGTAGCTTCTGATGAAACAATTTTTTGTACTATTATCTCTTCCTCCTTTTTTTGCAGTTAGTGAACCAGCAACTTCTTGCTGACCCTCTTGTTCCACCTCAGCTAACAATAAAAGACTTCTACATGACAGGTATGTGATTGTCAACATGAATGCCAAATGTGAAAGATGGCAAGGAATCAAATTGGAATTTTAAAGATTATTTTTCCCGATTTTTGTTCTGATTTCTTTTTTTTTCTGAAATGCAAGCAGACCTTCAAAAATCTAAGCAGAATTAACAGAATTTTAGATAGAAAATTTTTTTATTGTATATAAGATATCCCTTTGTTTAGCAGTTCAGAGAAAATTTTTTGAGTGGCAAGCAACTCTTAAGGTTTTTCTGGGAATTATAATAGAACTAAATTCACTTAGTTGTGAAACATGCTAAACAGTACTGATGCAAATTGTTAGGAATGTTTTTAAGGAATGCAGACTAACTTAAGCTTGTTTGTTATAGGTCTTGATATAGTATCTAGGTTATGGTAGTTGATACATGATACTAAGTAATTTTCTATCTAAAAGCAGGTAGTATGTTTTGAATTTTTGGGTGGTTTTTATCTATGACTGTAATTGGTGTTTTTAGTTATGTTAAGAAAGTTACTCTTGGAATAGAAACATCCCTAAAGTCAAAACAAGAAAAAACCCCCACTATATCTGTAAATAACTACCTTTATTTTTTAACATTTTGGTCAATATTCTAGTGATATACACATATGTTATTTATTTCAACAAAAATTGAGGATATGAATTTACTCTGCATATTTTTGGACAGCTTTTTTGAAATCTAATTCATGTACTATAAAATTCACCGTATGTGGTACACATTTCAATGGATTTTAGATTTTAGTACACATACTGTTTTGTGACCTTTTTTCAGTAACTGTGTGTGCAGATTTCTTTTCTATGCCTTCTGTACTTTCCTGAGTATTTATAATGGCTGCGCACTAGCACATCATCTGGTTGTGTATAGCTATTAAATCATTCTCGGGGTATTTATTAAAGTTATTTAGCTAATAAGAGACAATTTATTGATTAATTACACAGAATTTGCATATAGTTTTATAGTGTTTTTCCTGTTCCTGAATATATGCCAACAAGAAAGTTTTACCATATATATTTATAAAGTTATATTTTCAAAACACACATTTTCTTATCTTTCAGATGCAATTAGCAGAGCCTCACAGACCATGGCCAAGTGTGTCAAAGCTGTTACAGAGGGTGCCCAGGCAGTAGAGGAGACATCCATATGCTGAAACATCTAGTAGGAACCCAGTTTTACTACAAATAATGGACACTTATATTAGAATAATCTCAGAGGTTTATCTCTTTAAAAATTAGTCCTAATGATGTAATATTTAAGGTTCTACGGTGTTTCTTTGAAAACTATACTGTAATTAGCAGAGAACTTTGAGGTTTCAAACACACACATATGTATTCTGTGCAACATTGTTAAGTGGTTTAATAAACATCTGTACTCATGCTCACTCATGTAAAAGCATTGATGTTGCGGCAAATACAAACACTTAAAATAATGATTTCTTCTAAGATCACTATGGTTTTGAAATGGCGAAATAAGAAGAGCTTCCATTAGACCATTAGAATTTTGTTTCTAGTACTGAAGAAAAGATTTAAATATTTTTGTCAAGCTGAATAGGGAAATATAGTGATATGTCAGATATGTGTTGGACACTGAGTAATCATAGTAATGAGAGCTAATGGTTATTGAGCGTTTTCTGTATGCTAAGCACTGAGGTCTTGCATGTATCAACTTGTTTTATCCTTGCTACATCCCTAGTGCTATTTCATTGCACAAATAAACTGAAGCCCAGTTTATTAGGCAGCTTGCCCAAGACCACACAGCAAAAAAGTCAGACTCAAACCTAATTTTCTCAGTCTCCGCAGCCCATTCTTTTTAAATGATATATATAATTTACTCCATTACCCATTAATATTGATTCAGTAGGTGTTACATCTAAGAAATAATATTGAGAAGCTTAATAGGTAACACATTTTCTATTTTTTTTTAATGTTTACATAATGTCATTGTGATTTATATGACATTTTTCTTTGTGTCATAGATTACAGACACACCCTTGGAATGAGGGCAGTTTCAAGAGATAATTTGTCTCACTGTTTCATATTCATTATGTTAACACCAACTCTAGAATTAAATTAACGAAATTGTTCCAATAATACAAGATAAATCTAACAGCTTTTGTAATTTTCAATTAAGACAGGGAAGTAAAGATTTTTTTCAGCTTTATTCTAAAGGTATTAATTTTTTATCAAAACCTGTTTTTTGAATCCTTTTATATAATTCTGCTTTCACTACAGACTTAACTATAGCATACAAGTTTCCTTATATAGTAGAGAATAAGGCTTTTAAAATACTATGTCATCAGTATCTAAAAGTTGTACATAATTTGTCACCTATAACAGCCTTCTCGGAACTGTTTAGTTTATCCACGTTAGTGCTCTGTCTTAAAGTTGTATACATTGCTTAAATTCTCAGTTACCTAAAATACAAACTTCCTGAAAGTATTTGAATTCAGTACAAACTTCCTAGCTCTCTGTTTTCTTCACCCCTTAGCACTGTTGGCTGTCCTCAAAGGCACATACCCGCCCAGTTTTGTATTTTATGCAGAACTCTACACCAAATGTGTGCAGACTTCATAGGATTGTTTGCATGAGGATATTGCACTCAAATGGATAGAAAGAGAAACATGCCTGAACTGGCCCTGGGTCCTTGAGCAGCATGTATGAACTGTAAATACCATGTTTGAGGTTAGTAATATTCAATAAACGTGTTGGTTTTTATATAAACATGAAAATTTATGGGCACCTATGAATCATGTGATGCTCAATATTCAGTTTATGATAAACACAAACATTTAATGATTGCTGGGAGAAAGAAGACCCTGAAGAAGAGCTTCAAGATTGAAGAAAAATACATACAAGTGAGAATAATAACCTGCTGGTAGAATTGTGGTATTTTTCCCCCTGACATAAATGGACTTCTATTAGTTTCAGGTGTACAACATATTTGTATATACTGTGAAATGCTTGACATAACTCTAATTAATATCTATTATCCTGCATAGTAACATTTTCTTGTGACTTTTTTTTTTTAGAATTGATTTATTTATACATACAGAACTGAGGTACAGGCCAGAGGTGCAGGGGTGGTAAGAGGATTCACCAGAGACAGAGTGGGGAGCAGAACAGGCAGATTGATGAAGTACACTGATGAGGGGAGCAGTGGGCAAGACAGGAGAGGTCTGCCACGCCATGTGGTCACCTCTGGGGCAGGCGGGAATCGAAGTCATGCGGAAGTGGCTTTTAGATTCTCAGTGCTGTGCTTTAACCCGCTGCGCCACCAGGGAGGGCCTGTTTTCTTTTTTTTAAAGACTTATTTATGCATACAGAACTGGGGTACAGACCAGAGGTGAAGGGGGTGAGAGGACACACCAGATACAGAGCGGGGAGCCGAACAGGCCGACTGATGAAGTACACTGCTGAGGGGAGCAGCAGGAAGACAGGAGAGGTCTGTGCGCCACGTGGGTTACCTTCCCGACCTGGGATCAAACTCATGCTGAAGTAGCTGTGGCTAGCTTCATAGTGCTGTGCTTTAACCTGTTGTGCCATCAGGGAAGGACCCTAAATCACATAAGGTAGTTCTTTTTGAAGAACTCCATACCCTCTTCCATAGTAACTTCATCAATTTATATTCCTAGGAATTATGATGCTCTAAACAGTGAGTTAACAAGAACATTTACAGAGTCAAATCCAAGTCCCCTTAGAAGAGTCTGAAATACTCTGTTAACTATAGGTATTGAGACTGCGATATAGAAACTAAAAGGTAAGAGACATGTATTTTTTACTGTACCCTGTTGCTTCAAGTAAAAATTTTGGACAATTATAAAAATTGAATATATAGAATATATACACAAAACATCTTAAAACCTAAACCCCCTATGGAATGATGCCCAAATGTATTGTGAATGGTATCATGAATAGATTACTAAAGAGCTTTACATCTCCCTAGTGATACTCAGTATACGAGTAATATTACTGCAGAATTATTTAAATACTTCATTCTTGTTCAACTTTGGGAAAGTTACGTAAAAAAATTTCTTCACCTGTAAAATTAATTTTAAAATTATACTTATTTTTGGGCCTCCCTGGTGGCATAGGGGTTATGGCTTAGCAGACCTCTCCTGTCTCACCTGCTGCTCCCTCAGCAGTGTATTTCAGCTCTGCTCCCCACTCTGTCTCCGGTGAACCCTCATTCCCCACACCTGTGGCCTCCACCCCAGTTCTTGTACGAATAAATAAACCTAAATTTATATTTTCAACCTTGTAGGGTTTATGAGAATTAAAGCAAAACCTGTAAAACTCAGCCTGTTTCATGCAACTACTCAGTGTGTGTAAATTAATACTGAAGGTTTACCTGAGGACCATCATGATAGGAAAATGCCTGCTAGAAATATTGCTAATAGTTTCAGGACAGGAGGGTGCATCATGGGAATCCTTGATCCTAAAATTAAAAGCCCCAACTCTAAGTGAGTCAAATGAAAAATTCATTTCTTTCTATTGTGAAGAAAAGTCATACCTAGCATAATAAATCTCCAGCTTATGTACTTTTTAAAAGGTGCAGTCTTAAAGCTCAGAAATAAGACTTAATCATGGTCCAGTCAGTCACCATGTTTTACCCGTTGCTATAGGCAATTCACCAGGGCTGTGAAAATTTATTATGCAGGACTCTGTTATTAAGATTTAGTGATTCTGTTTTGGGTTTTTTTTTTTTTTTCAAATTAGTTTATTTTTGCATATGAGAATTGGGGTGTAGACCAAAGGTGCAAGGGGAGAGGATTCTCCAGAGACACAGTGGAGAGCAAAACAGGTTGATCTACTGAAATACACTGCTGAGGGAGCAAAGGGTAAAACAGGAGAGGTCTGTGCACCTGGGCAGCTCCCTGGTCAGGGATGGAACTCATGCTACAGTGGCTGCACATAGCTTGATAGCACTGAGACCTCAACACCTGAGTCATCAAGGAGGCCCCTAGTGATTCTATTTTAACCCATAGATTACTGCTAAGAGAAAAAACAATGGTTACTTGTAAAGGGTACAGAAAGAGGGCTAGAGCCATTAATGTGTATAAAGAGACAGCCAACATAAACCTTTGCCATATATACCTTTGCTTAATTAATATAGATTGTTAGTCTTACTGTTGCCAAACAAATCACCCCACTACTACTCAAGCTACCAAGGAGAGGAGACTTAAGCAGCTAGTAACCAAAATGGTGACAATAAGTATGTTTTGTTTTAATGTTAACATTGTCATTTGTGATTGTTGTTAAAATGTCACTAGCATTGTCATTACAAATCCTGTTAACAAAATCCTACTTTATGCAGAAATCATTATTCAGGCAGAAATTCATGAGTATACTAGTATAACAAAATTTTTAGGACATTTAAAAATATATACAAATAAGAACTGGGGTGTTAGGCCAGAGGTGCAGGGGGTGAGAGGATTCACCAGGGACAGAATGGGGAGCAGAACTGAAGTATACTGCTTGAGGGAGGACAATGGGTGAGACAGAAGTCTGCTGAGCCATGTGAGTCACCACCCTAGCCAGGGAGGGAACTTGTGCTGCAGTGGCAGGCGGTAACTTGACAGAGTTGTCTTTAACCCTAAGCCCCTTACAACACTTGAGACTAATTCCATTGTAACGTTGCTAGACACCTTATGTCTGTGATTGGTTCAACTTACGGAAACAAGTAGACAAAAAATCTGATGAAGATCTATTAGAGCAAAAAATATGTTAAACGTGCATAACCATCTTTTATAAAAAGATGAAAATAAGCTAATAATTCCCTAATAATTTTTAATAATCGACATCTTAAAATGTCTTAGTAATTGCATAGTACTTTGTGTACTTAATCTAGCCCAAGAGATAAGATTATCTTACTGATACAATTGAACAATATCAGGTCTAGATTTTAAGTGAACAAGGATATCAACTTCAAATACTCTGCTTGAAGTGTTTCTTTGTAGCTTTTACTGTTGCAAATGCTTAAGGATTAAAAATTGACTTAAATATGATTGAGAATCAATCTTTGACATTTAATATTTTTAAGGTAACTTACACTACAAAATTGGTTTTGAAATATATGGCAAATTCATGGTCTAGGGTTTGAGATTACTTTGCAATATTTAATTTGAATTGGTACTTAAAAAGATTATAAGATGAATTATTTATTACTATGCTTTTTAGAAGAATGTAATTGTAGATCCAAAAAAAGACTGCAGAAGAAAATCTAGTATTATACATGCATTTTGTAATTGTGTGGGAATGGAGAACAGAGAAAATAAAGGGCAATTTAGGAGCAGTTCTTGTGGTTTGACCCAGCTCTTTTGATTCCTGTTTCAGTGACACCTCAAAACCTTCAATTTAACTCTGGTGTTTAATAAACATTTAGATAGTTTCTACATGTGCCTGGGACTACTACGCACTACAATTCAGCTTGTGTCCTCAAGAAACAGTGCAGTAAAGAGAGAACAGATCAGTTACAGTAATGTCACGATATATTCCAGTAGAGGCATGTCCATAAAGCAGTGGTGTCTGTGCCCAGACCTCACCAACTTTCTCAATACCAAGTGTGAGCCAGAATCTAAGGAGATGGGCTCACTTGCGCCATGTCAGAATTTTTTTTTTTTTTGAGATTTATTTATTTGTGCATACAGAACTGGGGTACAGGCCAGAGGCTCAGGGGCGGCGAGAGCTTCACCAGAGACAGAGTGGGGAACAGAACAGGCAGATCGACGAAGTACACTGCTGAGGGGAGCAGCGGGCGGGTCAGGAGAGGTCTGCCACGCCATGTGGTCACCTCCGGGGCAGGTAGGAATCGAACTCATGCGGAAGCGGCTTTAGATTCTCAGTGCTGGCTTTAACCCGCTGCGCCACCAGGGAGGGCCCGCCATGTCAGAATTTTAATCCACATCTTTTAGATGCAGCAAATCCACTTCAGAGAATTTTTCCTAAATATATACCAGCATGCATTTGCAAGAACATATGGGTAGGGTGTACATTTCCATTGTTAGTGAGATAAAACAAAAAGTTAAAATCTATCAATAAGGGACTGCTTTTCAAATGGGTATAATCAGAAAATGAAGCATTATGAGGATGTTTAAAAGAATGGTCAAGTTTTCACCTTGCTGATATGTAAAGAACTGCAAGCTACATTAAGGATATAAAGTAAGTATACAATAAATGTGTATCCGTGTCCTTAGGTTAGTTTATGTATATGTGCAAAGTATCTGAGCACATGTCAAGAGAACAATTGTGAGTAGTTCCGCTAGCATAAGGAAAAGGACTTTGCACATCCATCTGGACATTTGAAAGTGTTTACAGTGATATACTGATTTTACATTTTTTAAAACATTTAAATGAAGCTATGTCAGTATTTAAATTGATGAAAAAAATTTTAATGTATAAAATTGTGTTACTGCATGCAACGGCACATTATATATTAAGGTAAACAGTCTCTAACTGGCTCCAATAATCCCTGCCTACCCAGATTACGTTTATGTAATCTTTCTTTGAGTGGATTACTAATTCACTTTTATTGAATAGTGATGTCACTGTAGAGATTAGATTTTTTTAAAGACTGCCTTTTATCTTTCTAAAGATTTACTTATGCATACAGAACTGGGGTATGGGTCAGAGGTACAGGGGGTGAAAGGATTCATGAGAGACAAGAGTGGGGAGCAGAACAGGCAGGTGTACCAAAACACATTGCTGAGAGAGCAGTAGGTGGGCTGGGAGAGGTC